AAATTAGAAACTAAAAATTCATCTACAGATTTCATCACTGTGATTCAAAAATCCACTCAAAACATGTTCGTAGGGACCAAAGCTCTGCAGCAAAGTGTCCCGAGGGCACGTTGGAGCTCTGTTACGACTCTGAGGTACTTACGCTCACAGTCGTAGGCCACCTCCAGGTACTTGTAGGTGCCTGGACACGGGTCTCCAAACACTGAGTTGCTCGCTTCAATAATGCAGCTGCTTTTCCCGTTACAGCTGTGAAAGCAGGTGAGTGAGTCAACAGAGGCTTTACATACTTTGTCAGGAAACATCTAAACCAGTGTGCACAGTTTGGGAAACCAGGGTTAACCTGTAACCTGGGAAGAGAAACATTTAGCACATCATCTGTGTGGTGCAGTGGGACGAGGTGACTGCTGATAGAAGCAGCAGGATGAACTGTGAAGTGTTCAGTCACATCTGCGTCGGGCTGAGGGAAGAACGAGCCTCGGTACCTGTCAGCGACTTTAGTGGTGGGATTGGGGCAATGGGCGTTTTGGATCTCGTGGGTTGGACGATGCTGAGAGCATGTGGTCGTATCGCGGCGCCCGTAGTCAGCCCAGTAGACGACTATAGCCTCTCCTTCATCTGAGGAAGAGTTCACCGTGTTAAATCAGCACCATGTTTGTACATCAATGAAACAAATCCACCTGAATCGCAGAGGAACTGCCCCACTCACCACACCGAAGGTTTGCGTTGGATCCTTCACACGCTGTGCTGTGGACTGAAAGAGAAACACCGCGTCACAAACTGTAACAACTCACGGGCAGAGTTTGGAAGTATCCAGATACAGACCTGCTGGGAAGCAGGCGAAGGTGGTGTCCAGGTATTTGCAGGCGCCGGGAACAGGAGTACCAAAGATCTGGATGTCTATGTCACACGTTTTCTTTCCGTCACAGCTGTGGGGAGAGATGGAGCTCACTGACGTGATCGTGTTATTGTTGCAAATGTTTGTTACCGACAGTGGTCACCTCTTCTTGATGGCCTTCAGTTTGTGGTGCTGAGAGCAGTGTTCTTCATCTCCACATGTGTGCTCGACTGACTCCACAACGATCACGCCGCTCTCTGTTTCACGCAGTATGACACAAAAGCAGAGATTAGAGAGGTTCAGAGCAGAGATGGATGGATTTTACAATCGCAGGTGTCGCCCCCAGCTGGACATGAAAAGAATTTAGTCTTAGGGTTCTTTAGTGTTGGCTTTTAAATCTATAGCCATCCTTTACATACAGTCTGTGTCTGCCTTACCACAGCACAGGTGCTGGACCAGGTGGCCGTCGCAGGTGATCACTCTGGTGCTGGATATGGCAGTCGCAGTGGACGGGACAAAACGTTTGGCTCGGGTTACACCTGGAGGGAAAAATAAAGAGTTAAAAAAGCAGAGTGGGTATGAGCTCACAGCTGATGGTGTGTGTGGGGGGGGGTCAGCCGACGGCTTCTGTCTGCTGTTTTGACTCTACGATGAGACTCAAGGACAGCCTGGCTGTTTGCTGGGAGCAGAGACTAAACGTCTGACCTTATCTGAGGCTCTCTCTCCTTCACTGATTCATTTATCTTTATTTTGTGCTCTTCGTCTCCTCCTGCTGAACAGTTAGCGCCGCCATGGAGTCAGCTGACTGACGCAGAGTCACAGCACAAACCGACGGTCTGACGGCTTTTCTGTCTCTGAAAGCTGCAACAGTCACGTGACGAGGTGAGAGTGACGGCGTTGAATCGAGGCAGACACGAGTGTGATTTAGAGTGGGGGGTAGTGGGCAGGTGTTCCCGCCGTGTTTGTGGTAAATGAAACTTTTCCACAGATAATTTAATGTTGATTGGATCTGTGTTAAAATTCAAATAGGAGCTTAAATCTTCTAAGAGTTTCTGTAAGTGTCTGACCTTTGACCTTTGATGCTGTCTAAGAGCGTGCACCTGCTCATGTGGACTGAAAAACACATTAATCTCACAGTTTATTCAAATCTGCCAGATTTATATCCCCACTACTTTCCAAATCCCACGATGAGCCAGGCCTGCAGCTCAGGGGCAGAGAAGTAAAGGTGAGGATCATTTTTAAAAATGTCCATTAATGAGAATAAACCAGGTAACAGAGAAGCACAAAAACAGACTTTTACCTGAACTCGCGAGTAAACATGTTGCTGCCAGCACTGAAAAACAAGAAGGAAACCTGAGTGTTAGACTGAGTTTGGTTCGTCTCCAAACTCACACATGAAATGATATCGAATGAAAAAAGGAGAAAACTGCAGTAAAAGGTCAGCGACCCCGATCATATTTCTATTCGCTGTCAGTGCAGCTCAGCATCTGCATACAAATGATTTTATCAACAACATGAGATGATGTCAGAGCTCCTTCCAATAAACATTTAGATTAAAGATGTTTGTCTCTTGTAAGAATGTTGGAAACATTTGAAGCTTTTTAATAAAGTTATTTCTATTCAATGACTTTGAATTATTTAACAGCAGAATTGTATTCCCATCCTGTCAGCTTAAAAGCCATCCTGCATAAACCATTTCTTACCCTTTGATTATTTTCAGGCAGCACATGAACCCTGATCGTCTGATCAATAAACACGTGTATCTACAGAGCTGTTTGATTATTTGCTCTATGAAAGTAGAATCTGCAGCAAAGCGAGCACACGTGCATTTCTGCATGAAGGATTATCAGTGTGTGCTACTCACACAGCGTGTTGCTGAGTCCGGAGCAGAGCATCGTGTTCGGAGGTCTGGTTGTCGGTGGCGAGCTGAGCCGATGGCGGGTCGGACGGAGACCTTGGTGTATTTACGCCGTTTAGCTGAGAACTTTTACCGACGTGCAAAACAAGCAGCCAATGGAAAAATGAGAATCCAATGCTTATCAGGTGCAGCAGAGCCAAAGAGAAAACTAAACTGCTATCAATAAGAAACGATTATAGAAGCCAATCGCAGCTCGCCCAGTGTCAGCCAGGATTGGCTCAAGGCCCCCCCACGACCCTGAACTGGATCGTGGCTCGAGAAGATGGAGCCACAACACAAAACAGCCTTTTCTTTCTCAGACTGAGATGTTGAATCGGTTAAAGAAGGAAATCCTTTTAAAAGCTGCATAAATGCACCTCGGACTGTGGGACACCCCCCAGCATTCAGATCATCACAGGTGGTTAAAAGGCCTTCGGTCAACAAGCTGTGATCATCACTTTAACCATGACTGTTGTACAGTTTCATTAACCATCAGCGTTTATTCAGAATTATCACGATGTGACAGAAAAGAGACGTCGTGACCGCTGGCAGCTCGTCCTTCACGCGGAGCTTTGGTCATCGTCTCTGAAACACTCGGTTCAGCCGCAGTGTTTCACAGTCTTAACATACTGACACAAACACGAGCGCACGTTCACACGTTCACGTGCAGAAGTGAAGGACACGATAATCAAGCATAAACTAAAACAAGGTGGTTTTCACAGAATCACCCCGACGGGCCGAGTGAGGCCGTTCCACAGTCCAGGAGCTAAAAGTCCAACCGTGGTCGCCTCTGGATTTAAAATAAGAGTGTGGAGCAGGTGAAAGGCCCACGTCCAATCAGCAACAAGCGCTTAAATAAAGGCTCCGGCAGCGTTTGGATGGAGAACAGCAGCTGAGGTTATCTGTGAAACAGCTGCATGAACACTGTGACAGACGGATATCACATCCTGCTGTGAAAACACGTATCTGTGTGTTTGTGTGAAAGCTAGCAGCAAACCTCTGAATCATCATCAGGCTCCTCGGCTCTCTGCAGAGACAAGGAGCCCGGCACAAAGTGTTACAGAGTGACACGTTTGCAATTTCATTACATAAAAACAAAATGAATTCATCAGACAGCTGGAATAATGTGTCAGCAGCTCTGTTAAAAAGCGCAGAACTGAAAGAGATTCATAAGTTTCTCAAAGGAAGTCAATAAAACGAGGAAAGAGCCGAGCTGCTGTGTAACGGTGGAAGAAGTGCTGAGGAGGACGATCTACGTCAGGGGCGTCAAACATAAGGTCTGGGGGCCAAAATTAGACGGGCGACTACTCCACCCACTGGATGGCTTTGGGAAATGTGATGGATGGGATACATTTTGCACTTTTGTGTTTCCATAAGTTTATAAGTTTCCCCCGCGGCCCTTCATGCTGCACCAGAGTAATAAAATCACAATTACTGAGAGTTCCTGTTTTTCCTCTGTAAACTATAGAAATGTCTGTTTCTTACAGCGGCTCAAACAACATTTTCTGTGAACAGAAACTTTGTTTAATAATTACAGGACAGTCTGGACAGACAGCTCCCAGAACTTCCTCTGTAATCACACATTTATTTCTTACAGTCGTGCTGACAGACGTCTTTACTGCAGCAGCATTTCTTCATCATGTAGAAAAACTGAGACGCTGCTGAAACGTCTTTTTCTTATGTTAAGATATTTCAGGATTAAATGTAGAGTTAAACTTGTTTAACTGACACAAAGACGACTTTCACTGGTCGATCAAAGCTGTATGTGGCCCACCATGTAAGATGACTTTGACATCTCTGATCCAGAAGGAAGTAATGAAATACAAATACTTTGTCAGTGTACTTTTACTCCCCACATTTGTACACACATTTCTGCACTTTCTACTGCTTACATGTTCAAAACAGACTCGTTACTTTTGCTTTGACACGTCTGAGGGGAGTTATGTTCTCACAGTTCCCACAAGTGCAAACAGCAGTTAAAGTGCTGAAGTGGAACCTGCTGCGCTTTTTGAACTGGGGACGAACAGACACGAGAACATAGCATGACACAGCACAGAGGAGGCACAGAGACAGGAACTATGAATAACAATGATATCAAAGGCTATTAATAATTCAGACACACAAAAAACTGGCTCACTGCAAACGTTGCATCAATTCACTGCAATATTTGCTTTTCTTTAGATTTAAAGTTAAGTTGTCAGCATCAGAAGTACTGATGGTGTATTTATGTCACACCTATTTTTCCATCACAGCTGCAGGGAGACAGAAAGCATTTTGAGGTTTATTAAAATGATCAGATGATGATTTGAAGCATGAATGACTCACTTTCAGGTCAACATTTCAGTTCCTTTAAATTTTATTGAATTTATTTTCCTGTTTATTGTGATATGAAATCATATTTATCAACAGAATCCAGCAGTGATGTCATCGAGGCTTGACATCCTGCTGGAAGTGACATCAGCAGTGAGGCTGTGACATCATCATGTCAGACGTGTCAGGACACGAAGGAGCAGTTTGTGTCTCTGACACAAACAAACCCTCTCTGTGAGTTACATCTTTGGTCGTTGACATAATCTCGTCCTGTAAAGAATCAAAACAAAGAAATAAAATCAGAGGTCTGTGCTGTAAATGTTTTCTTCTTCTCTAAAGTAAAAAGAACAAACACAGTTCTTATAAAGACCTAAGATCACATGACTTCAGTCAATAAAAACCAAACACATTTCATCAACAGGCCCACTTTCAGTTTGTACCATTAAAGTTTATCTCCATACAATCTTGACCTCCTCCAGAGTTGTCAGGTTCTCCATTACCCCAGTTTGTGAAGTCAAACTGGGAACCATCACTCCACTTCCACACAGTTTCCTGGAAGAATAAAGTTCAGTTTGTTCTGATGTACTTTGATGCATCTATGCTGAGAGTGCAGACATGAGACCTCTTACACCACTCGAACACAACGAAGGTTCATTTTGTTTGTGCAGGTAAAAAATGAAAAGAAAAGTCAAGTCAACAGCAACATCTGTCTCCAGGAACAAAGTCCTGATTAATCAGTCTGTCACATGTTGACCTTTGAATCAAACTGATGAATATGAAGAGAAACATATGAAATATCAGAAACAGCTGCAGCTCATCCTCTTTATCTGTGAAACACTTACATTCTCTCTGTCGTTGCCTCCAACCCAAGCTGTCAGATACGACCCTGCTGCTGTGCGAGTGAGCTCTCTGATGAAGGTGTACTCAGCTGTGCTGTGGTATGAGGCCAGATTTCCACCGAGTGTCTGACAGGAACACTGAGGAGGAAGATGAGGTGCACAGAAGATGAAAAGTGTGAGAATGCATTTAAAATCAGTCAAAGACAGAAAGTCTTTATGTCATCAGTGATGCAGCGACAGCTGCTGTTATTTCCTGATGTACCTCAGCATCAGTCCAGGTCTTCATGCTGCTGTTAAAGATGAAACAGCGACCTCCAAACCGAGTCCAACCAGCAGGGCAGGAAGGAGCTGCAGCATGAACGCAAAGTTAAAAGGTCAATAATCAAATTAAAAATTCCTCAAAAGAAAAAATAACTTCTGAAACTTCACCATGAACTTCAGCTTAGAAAAGATTTAATAAGAAACACACATTTATTTATGTGTTAATTTTGTAACTGACTCACTGCAGCAGTGAATCTTTAGTGTGACACTGAGTGTAATTAATGTTTAATAATAATTTACTTTAGTTAATGTTCTAATTTTACAGCAGATGCCTCCACAGCGGGACAGAGAGATTCACATGTTTGTGTGATTTTGCATGTTTCACTTTTAACTTCTACTGATCACATCTGGGTCTTTAAAGCTGCAGAGCGTGAATGTTGACCCCCATGATCCTCCGGTGGGTCCTGTTTAAGGTCGAGGTTTAAGTCTAACAGTGAGTGTGCTTTTACCATCAGGGCCTTTGACTGTGGAATGACCTGCCTGAGGAGAACAGGCTCCAACAATCACAAACCTCCTTTAAATTACTTAAAGCACATTTTAGAGAAAACAGGCTCCTAGCACAACCTGGGTCTCGAATGAAGTCGAGAGGAGACCGGGCACTTGCAACCGTGGCACCCAGACTCTGGAATAACCTCCCTGTTCATGTTCGTACTGCCGAGTCTATCACGTCTTAAAACTTATCTTTTTACATTGGCTTTTGGTTCTAACCAGTTGGCTGTTCTAGCTTGTTGTGTTGTTACCTATTGTTTGTTGTCCTGTTTTATTGTGTCTTTTAATTGTCTCCTGCTTTTACTGACTGTGAAACACTATTGTTGTTTGAATATGTGCTGTATAAATAAAATTTGATTTGATTTGAATAGTGCTTCAGCAACTACAGACACATTTAGAGATAAACAGTATCAGTGATGAATTCCAGTCTGGATTTAAACCGCGTCACAGCACCCAAACTGCCCTACTAGGAGTTTTCAACGACCTCCTTCTAATCGCTGACTCTGGGCGCTCTGCGGTCTTACTTCTATTAGATCTGACGTCACCTTTGACATGGTCGATCATGATATTCTTTTGGCAAGGTTAGAACATGTAGTTGGCCTTACAGGAAATGTTCTTTCATGGTTTAAATCATATCTTTCAGAGAAGTCCTTCTCTGTCACAGTGGGTAAACATTCCTCTTCTTCTGCCCCTGTTCGCTGTGGTGTGCCCCAGGGCTCGGTGCTGGGTCCTGTGTTGTTCTCTCTGTACATGCTGCCCCTGGGCTCCATTTTTGAAAAACATAATGTCTCTTTTCATTGCTGTGCTGATGATATTCAAATCTACCTCCACTTGACTGGGGATGTTTCATCTTCACTACATCCTCTGTGGGGATGTCAAAGACTGGTTACTATGTGACTCTCTTACCTTAAATGAAAAGAAGACGGAATTATTGTTTTTGATAGAAATATGCTTCTGGGACAACTGACTGGCACACTGGGGCCTGTTGCTAACCGCCTCACTGATGCTGTTAGGAATCTTGGAGTTTTCATGGATACTTCCTTCAAACTGGATCAACAGGTGTCCACTGTGTTAAAAAGTCGCTTCCATCAACTGCGCCAAATTTCTAAAGCTAAACATATTTTTACTGCAGGAAACGTACAAAGAAAGAGAAGCTGTGTTCTCACCACACTGAAGGTTTGCCTGAGATCCTCCACATATTACACTTTGGCCTGAAACAGACACAGATCCCATAGAAACTGTAATCATTCATGTACAGACTGGGTTCATCAGTCATTTCTAATCACAGGTTTAACAGAGTCGTTACGTGGGAAGCAGTCGTAGGTGGTCTCCAGGTATTTGCAGACTCCAGGATCATAAGTAATGTTTGACTTTATGTCACACTCGGTTTTTCCATCACAGCTGCAGGGAGACAGAAACAGCTGGTTTTCAGCTCAAAGATATGAAACAAGTTACTTTCAGGTGATCATTTACTTCCTGTTAGTTTGAGTAAAGCTGTTCAACAGGTTTTAGTTTGTTTCTTCTTTTGAATCAAAGGCTCACTTCTACCATCCCACAGTGCTCACCTGTTCCTCACGTTGTTCACAGCGTCACCGTGAGAGCAGATTACTTCACCTCCACATCTGTACTCAGCTGACCTCACAATGATCATTCCACCCACTGTTATACAGACACAGTATGAGAGAAAAGGAACAACTCAACACAACATGCAATAATCCAGGTTTCAGGCTTCAGTTTCAGACTCAGATGCTGCAGATCCATAAATAATGAGGATTGTACCTCTGTACACCACCACAGTGGATATTACATTAACTCTGATCAAGGAGGAAACTTTAAGTCAGTGTTTTTGTTTCTAATCTACATCAAATGTTTCTGAACTTTTATACACAGTCCAACATCCTCAGAGCTTTTTTAAAGAATAAATGCACTGTTGGTTTGTTGATCAGGAAAATACAATTTAAACTGAAAATAAGCAGCTGTGCATAAAAAGGCTGTAAACTATAAACAGTTCATCCAATACTTGTTAAGTTTGTTGAATTTAGCCTGAGAGTCTGAATTTGATCTGCAGTGAATTCTTGGACACTATTTTCCATCTTACCACAGCTCAGGCGAGGAACACTGAGGCCGTTAGAGGTGACCACTCTCCCTGTGGATATGGGGGTCACAGGAGGAGAAACTTGAGCTCTGATAAAGCCTGAAATAAAAAATAAATTGTACATTTCTGATAAATTAATGGGGAATGTGTTGATCATTTTCTTGCTGAAGGTGAAGCTACAGCTGGTCCCTCATCTTACTTTAGTTTTCCCTGATGGATGTGAAACACGGTTAGTGTCAGCGAAGCTTACAGTAACCTCTGTCTGCTGAAGCTGCTGGCTGATTTAGCCCCAGGGTGGACAACAAAGATCACAGTTTGTAAAGAGTGCAGAGACATAATATCTATCATGTTATTATCTATCTATATTCAACATTGCATCAATACATTTGTCAAAAAATGTCTCTCTGAGCAAAATGGGTTCAAAAACATAAACAGCTGTGGGATCCTGTTAGTCCGTGATTTGAACCGAGGGAACAAATCGTGGCAGGATCAGCCTGATGTTATTTGTATCCTGCTGTAACTTTACTGTATAAAGAGCAAACATCTCCAACATGTCAGGAGCAGTTAGTCATTACAACAAGTGTTTGAACTAAAGATCAAGAATGTGGGATCCTGTTTGTCCGTGATTTGAACAGCCCAGCGCTGCTCCCGACGCAGGGAAACCAGTTCTGCAGGGAGACCGACCTCAGCACCTGTGCAGGTGAAGCCAAAGGGCAGATTTGCTTCACCATATTTTCTCGTCTTTGGCTCAGAATGAAGTTGGTTTGGAAACATATTCAGCGACGCTTCATCTCCTGCTTTGCGTTTCTGTGGCCGCCCCGTGCTAGCAGTGGTTTTGTCCCCCCCCCTTTTCATACCGCGCCCCCCTGCAATGGCTCTGCGCCCCCCTAGGGGGCGGACCCCACACTTTGAGAAGGTCTGCTTTAAATCAAAATTGATTTAAAGGATTGCAATCCAAAGCCTCTATCCCTGATTTCCTCACATGTCAACAAGGAGCCCCACAACATCCAGAACCCCCCCCCCCCCCCCCACCCCCACCCCCACCCGCCCAGCAGCCACCAGACAGGTTTCATTTCATTTTCACTGGGAACGGAAATAAGATTTTAAAAAGGTGTGTGTGAAGGATAGAGTTTAGATTTTAGATCACACAAATACAATATTTAGTAGTTACAGACAGAAGAAGAAGAGGTGAGCTCTAATAATGAGAAAGTTCACAGAAAGGCTCTTTGTGACCAGAATATAAGAAGCAGTAAAACAGCATTTACCTGAAGTGATGAGTGAACAGGTTGCTGCCAGCACTGAAAGAGACAGAAAGAAAGCTCAGTGTCAGACTGTGTGTTTGATATCAAGTTGAATTCACCTCAAAACATGAAACAGAAATGAAAAGCAAACAGGAGAAAGCTGCTGCTTTCATTCACACCTGGATTCTTTGGAAACTCTTTCTAAACAGCAGATTTCAATGACACATTTATTCTCTTCATCTTTCCAACTTTTGTCAATAAACTTATTTGTGTTGACAGTTTGACTTCAACTCTTCAAAGTAAATGATCAGCCATGAATTGCTCTCAGGACTCTGTGAAGCCTAACTGTCCTGCTGAGGTGATGCAAACATGTATTTAGGATGTTAGATGAACTGATCCAATAAAGCAGAAAGAAAAGCATGTCACAGTACAGCACAGTGGAAAGCTAGAAAAGGATTAGACTGAACATGTGCAGCTGATTTCATGTATAAATAAAGGATGATCAGTGTGTTGTACTCACACAGTGTGCTGCTGAGTCCGGAGCAGAGCATCATGTTAGGAGATCTGGATTACAGTGAAGAGCTGATGGAGGATCAAACACAGAGCTGCTGGATTCACTCTGTTTCAGTAACACCTGTGATGTACATGCAAAGCACAGCCAATGGAAAAGCAGAGTATCCTCCTTCTCACGTGCAGGATGTTGGATGTTTGGAATGGAAAAAGTATGAGAAAAAGAAAAAACCAGGATGTGAATAAACAACATGTAAAACAGGGTGCAGCAGGAACACAGCAGGAATATATTTGTATGGAAAATTTTCATATTTACATGGAACATCTCCACATGTCTCTCTGGTCAGAGACCACAAACGAGACAGTGTTTGTGATGCTGAGTCAACAGTATTATATTGTAAGTGTTTAAAGAGAGGTTTCCATTGACTGTGACTGTGTGAAGAACTGTTGAAAGTTCCTGAACAACACAACATGCCATTGTATGGCAGCTGCACCATTGTACACTATCTCTACTTTTAACTTTCCTTTTTGCTAAAGCATATAGTTGGGACCAAACACTCCAGGAACAACAAGTAGGCCTGCAGAGCGAGAGCGAAGTGCTCTAATAGGGTGATATGGTACCACAAGGTCATTAAGATAAGATGGGGCCTGATTATTTAAGACCTTGTATGTGAGGAGCAGGATTTTACATTCAATTCTGGATTTAACAGGGAGCCAATGAAGGGAAGCCAATACAGGAGAAATACAGCATTTTGGATTAACTGAAGGCTTTTCAGTTAATCTGCTTCGTGCATGGAGAGGGAGACATTGTCTAAGAGTTCTTCTGTCTCCTACTACCTGAACTGGGTCGAGGAACATCCTGGGACAGAGCTTATCCACCCGCTTCCTCTCAGCTGTAGATAAGCTGCTGTTCCCACAAACAACAACATAGAAGATGGCCGACAGCACCAGAGAGTCTAAAAAGGTCTTCAGGAGTTCCCCCTGCACTCCAAAAGATCTCAGTCTCCTCAGCAGGTAGAGTCTGTTCTGACTCCTGACTCAGTGTTGTCTTAAAGACATTCCTGCAATTTAATTGGCTACAAAGAGCTAGGTTGATCTGCATACCCAAGAAGTATGCGATGCCTTGTAACGATACCTTGAAGAAGCATTTAAAATATAAACAGAACTGGTCCCAGCGTGGAACCCTGAGGAACTCCATTATTAACCTGAGAATGTGAAGAAGGCAAATTGGAGTCTGTTAGACAGACATCACTGAAGTCACTGCGGTGCAGAAACTTTAATACCTGCTGCATGCTCTGATCTCTGTAGTAAAAGTTCATGGTCATCAGTATTGGTATCAGTATTTTTTTCACTCTAATAGTTAAGATTTTATTTGTGAAGAAATTCATGAATTCGTTAATAGCTGAGATTAAAGGAATTTTTGGAGCTCTGTTTGTCATCCTGGCTACAGACTCAAGTTTGTTCTTATTTTCTTAAAAATCAGTGATGAATAGTAAAATGGGGTAACGACGTTACGTGGGTAACGACAGCGAGACCTGGAGGGGCGTGATTGGGAGGAACGGCCTCCCTGATCTGAACCCGAGCGGTGCTTTGTTATTGGACTTCTGTGCTAATCACAGTTTGGCCATAACGAACACCCTGTTCGAACATAAGAGTGTCCATAAGTGCACGTGGCACCAGGACGCTCTGGGCCGTAGGTCGATGATCGATTTTGTAATCGTATCACCAGACCTGCGACCATATGTTCTGGACACTCGGGTAAAGAGAGGGGCTGAGCTGTCAACTGATCACCACCTGGTGGTGAGTTGGATCAGGTGGCGGGGGAGGACGCTGGACAGACCTGGTGCACCTAAACGCGTAGTGAGGGTGTGCTGGGAACGTCTAGCAGAGGCCCCAGTCCGCAAGATCTTCAACGCACACCTCCGGCAGAGCTTCAACAGCATTCCGAGGGAGACTGGGGACATTGAGTCCGAATGGACCATGTTCAGCGTCTCCATTGCCGAAGCTGCTGCATTGAGCTGCGGCCGCAAGGTGGTTGGTGCCTGCCGTGGTGGTAATCCCCGAACCAAATGGTGGACACCAGAGGTGAAGGGAGCCACTAGGCTGAAGAAGGAGTCCTATCGGGCTTGGTTAGCCTGTGGGACTCCGGAGGCAGCTGACAGGTATCGACAGGCCAAGCGGAATGCGGCTCGGGCAGTGGCTGAAGCAAAAACTCGGGTGTGGGAGGAGTTCGGAGAGGCCATGGAAAAAGACTTTCGGACTGCCTCGAAGAGATTCTGGCAAACCGTCAGACGTCTCAGGAGGGGAAAGCGGTGCTCTACCTGCACTGTGTATAGTGCTGGCGGAGCGCTGCTGACGTCGACTGAGAAAATTTTCAGGCGGTGGAAGGAATACTTCGAGGACCTCCTTAATCCCACTGACACGTCTTCCGAGGAGGAAGCAGAGTCTGGGGATGAGGGGAATGACCCGCCAATTTCCGGGGGCGAGGTGACTGAGGCAGTTAAACAACTCCTTGGTGGCAGAGCCCCTGGTGTTGATGAGGTCCGCCCCGAGTTCCTGAAGGCTCTGGACGTTGTAGGGCTGTCCTGGTTGACACGCCTCTGCAATGTTGCGTGGAGATCAGGGGCAGTACCTGTGGACTGGCAGACCGGGGTGGTGGTCCCCATCTTTAAGAAGGGGGACCGGAGGGTGTGTTCCAACTACAGGGGGATCACACTCCTCAGCCTCCCTGGGAAAGTCTATGCCAGGGTGCTGGAAAGGAGAGTTCGTCCGTTAGTCGAACCTCGGATGCAGGAGGAACAATGCGGTTTTCATCCTGGTCGCGGAACACTGGACCAGCTCTTTATCCTCTCGAGGATACTTGAGGGTGCATGGGAGTTTGCCCAACCAGTCTACATGTGTATTGTGGACTTGGAGAAGGCATTCGACCGTGTCCCTCGGGGTGTCCTGTGGGAGGTGTTGCGGGAATATGGGGTGTCTGGCCCATTGCTACGGGCCATTCGATCCCTATACAACCGTTGCAAGAGCTTGGTTCGCATTGCCGGCAATAAGTCGGACTCGTTCCCGGTGGGTGATGGGCTCCGCCAGGGCTGCCCTTTGTCTCCGGTTCTGTTCATAATTTTTATGGACAGAATTTCTAGGCGCAGCCAAGTGGTGGAGGGCTTTCGCTTTGGTGGCCTCAGAATCTCATCTCTGATTTTTGCAGATGATGTGGTTCTGTTGGCTTCCTGCCATAAAAGACATCTACAGGAAGTGGTATCTGAAAAGGGCTGGGAAAATCATCAAAGACCCCAGTCACCCATCACATGGACTCTTCACCCTCCTGCCCTCTGGGAAGCGCTACAGGAGCCTCCGGACTAAGACCACCAGGTACCGGAACAGCTTCTTCCCCACAGCTGTCAGACTCCTGAACTCTGCCTCCTGACATCTGACCCACGTTAAACTCATGGACTGAACATACACACACCCACAACCACCTACACACCTTTCTCACTCACTATGTGATAACAGACCTCTCTGCATTGAATCATATCTGTTATTAACCTCTGTCTCTCTTCCACAGCATGTCTTTATCCTGTCTTCCTTCTCTCACCCCAACCGGTCGCAGCAGATGGCCCCGCCCCTCCCTGAGCCTGGCTCTGCCAGAGGTTTCTTCCTGTTAAAATGGAGTTTTTCCTTCCCACTGTCGCCAATGTGCTTGCTCATAGGGGGTCATATGATTCTTGGGATTTTCTCTTTTTACCATAGGATATACTTTACAATATAAATTGCCTTGAGACGACTGCTGTTGTGATTTGGCGCTGTATAAATAAAATGTATTCAAACTCAACTGAATTGAAAGCTGAAGGCTCTGCTTCCCATTGTATGGAGTAATCACATGTAAACCAGCAGTCTGAGAGCGAAGTGCTCTATTTGTCATACGGCACTGTAAGGTCATTAGGATAAGATGGGGCCTGATTATTCAGGACCCACAAAGTCACTTGGAGGGATTATTTTTCCTGGTTAAATGATGATCTTCTAAATGAGTGCATTTCCTGTGCAGCTTTTTCCAAGACTCCTTTTTTTGTCGTGCAATGTTTGAATAAATCCTGTGATCTACATGCAAACCCATTGCCAGTTGACGGTAATAGACAGGGTGCGGCAGGAGTACAGCTGGGAACACATTTGTATGGAAAATATTCTGATTTGCATTGAAAATCTTTGTTCTAACTCACAAAGGAGAAAGTGTTTCAGTCCATGGGTCAAAAGCTGTAATGAAATCAGCTCGTTGGAAAAACATCTGTTAGAGAGTGGACTCAGGCGCAGAGCTTAGAAATAGAGACAGTGCCTTTATTTACAGTGCAGCAAGGTGACAACAGTTCAAATGTGTGTGACCAAGTGGTCGGCGGGGTTCTAAAAGAAATAATAAAATGACAACGCCACCTAGGGGAATTCCACCCCCAGGAAATATATGTTTAAGAAAAATAGATAAAAAGAGGCCGCACAGATTCAAGGATGCACACTGAGGCAGGTTGGCTCCAATATTAAAACAGTTTTATTTATAGTAAAAGAAATAAAGAATAAAATATTAGGAGAACAAAATGTTGACAGTGCCCTAGAAGTACAATAAAACAATGTTGGAACTTGGATTTACCAGCAGCCGTGGACCCAAAAGAAAATCACACAAAAAGAAAATCACTGCAGCCCACCCGGTGCTGTACAAAAGAAAGTGTGAAAGCGACCCACCACCTGAGGTCCCAGGGCCACTGGCACGTCCTCCGTTCACTGAAATAAAACAGAAAAATACGTTAAAGGAAGAAAAGGACGCTGAGCGTCTGGCTCGCTACACATCATAAAAAAACTAAAATACACTTTAATAACTTTAATAAAAGAAATCGCACACACACACACACACACACACACACACACACACACACACACACACACACACAGATCTTCAGTCATGTATCCTGTGCTTCACAGTAACTGTAATTTTATTGGTTGTATTTGTGTATATAACCCCCCACCCCTGTCCTGTATTTATTGTTCTTATTTGTCGCATCTGTGATTACAGCAAAAACATACACTCAACAAAAATATAAAGGCAACACCTTTGTTACTGCTCCCATTCCCCATGGGATGGACGTAGAGACCTAAAATTCATTCCAGA